ATTAATATACAAATTACTAGATTATATGTAAATATGAGAAAAAACATTAATATGTTCCAAAGAAAATTTATAAAGTTAATTTATTTAATAATGTTTTAATATTTTCTTTTTGTATACTATTATCCTTATTTTGTTTTCTTAATATTAATATCTAAGAAAGATGCGAAAAATTCTTGGATACTATAATTTTTCCGCGCACACAATAGAGACATTGACAAAATCTACGCTGCATTTTGCTTTCTTTTATTTTGCTGATGACTAAGAATGGGGTCATGTGGAAGATAAGAAGTAGATAGTGGACACATGCGACCAAGTAGTTTACTAGGGGTGGTTCCAACTTCCAACTATATGTCAAGACTCTCCACATATGTATAATTTATATATATCGTTCTTTCCAAAATTCGATGGTTGACCTACAAAATCCAAATGATGTTGCAGTATTAGACAATCCCTTCTTAATTATTAATTAATTAATTATTATTATTATTATTATAAAGAAAAAATATTTATCTTTATAATTGTATTATTTTAAGTGAGAAAATTATATAACTCAAAATTTTTTAATTTAGATTTTTTTAAAAAAAATTATTTACTTTCTCTTTTGTGATTTCTATATTTGTATTTTTCTCTCACTCAAAATGACGTAATTCTACGTGCTCTAAAAGGATAAACACTAAACCCTTATTATAATTATCGAAATGGATAGAAATATATATAAAAAAAAATCCTTCTTTTTGGCTTTCCTTCTTTAATTTGTTAAGCATATATAAATTACCACTAGTTCAATGGCAGGCGCTGAGATTCCTCACCTCACCCGCAGTAATTTTCATTCACGAATCTTGCTACTTCTTTTTTATAGTTCAATAAGTTAATTATATTTTGGCCTATATGAGATAGAGATAAATAGAACTCACGCCACATGCGTTTATTCGATAGAGGCCGTATAGCATAACTCTTCTTTTAAATATCCGTTAATGGTAAGAGTTGAGTTTATATATATATATATATATATATATATTTGAAAATACTATTTTCATTTTACATGAGAATAATTATCTTCTACTATAGAGAGAAGTCAAGTGGGATCCACTATTAAAAAACAAAAAAGAAGAAGGGGATAAAATTTTTGAAGTGAGAGAACATGAGATAATTATCTCAAGTAAAATGAATATATATATATATATATATATATATATATATATATATAGGGGTTTACAAGCTGTTACGTGCAGTAATCAAATACTTATCATATATATATATAGAGTAAACACCCTTTTTAGTCCCTGGCAATATCTACGAAGTCCTTTTCAGTCCCTCGCAATAAAAAAGGACCAAATTGATCCCTGAAAGTACAAGAAAAGGGCCACTCTACATATTTGGGAGTTGACATAAGGACTAACATGGCCCTTTTTTTGTAATTGCAGGGACCAATTTGGTCCTTTTTTATTACCAGGGACTAAAAAGGACTTCGTAGATATTGACGGGGACTAAAAAGGGTGTTTACTCATATATATACTTGAAAGCATTAAATGCGGGAAATCATAATCATACAAAGGATAAAAGCATTAAATGTGGGGAATCATAACATTTAATACTTTTATCTTTTGTATTGTATGATTCACCAGATTTAATGCTTTCACGCATATATATGGCAAATATTTGATTGTTGCACGTACAACAGCTGCAGAAATGTAAACCCCTATATATATAGAGAGAGAGGGAAAGAGAGAGAGTAGGATCCTTTGACACTTCATCTCAGAGCCATTAGATCGAAAAAGATCAACGATTCTGATTTATAAGCATGTGACACCATTGATCTTTTTTTATCTAATTACTCTCATATGAGGTGTCAAATTTCAAATTTGACACTAGTGTCAAAAGATCGTACCTCATATATATATATATATATATATATATATATACAGGGGCAGGTTATATTTACAAATTTTTTTGTTTACAAACTACACTATGTAGCACCGGTCCTACATTAATCACACAGTGTACGACCGGTCCTACATTAGTGTAATTGTAAAAAAAGTTTGTAAACGGATCCTGTCCCATATATATATATATATATATATATATATATATATATATATATATATATATATATATAGAAAGAGAGAGGGTAGGATCCTTTGACACCAGTATCAAATTTGAAATTTGACATCTCATCTGATAGTCATTAGATCAAAAAAGATCAACGACTCTTATTTGTAAGCATGTGACACCATTGATTTTTTTGATCTAATGATTCTCAGATGAGATGTCAAATTTCAAATTTGACCCTGGAATTCCTTAACGATTCTTCAATTTGAATCAAAATGGTTTTTTCTTGATGAAATCATAAAATCCGAATTAATACATAACATAAACAATAAATCTTGGTTTATTATTGAAAAAAAGGGTACAAATTTCTCTCTTATATGTGAATTCGAATTCTTTTTTGAACAATTGAAAAGGTTATCTTTTTTGATCTAATGATTCTCAGATGAGATGTCAAATTTTAAATTTAACACTGGTGTCAAAGATCCTACCCTTCTATATATATATATATATATATATATATATATATATATATATATATATATATATATATATATATATATATATATATATATATTGCCTTATGAACAGTCCAAGAATCGTGATGTTGATAAGTTATCTTGGATGCGTGTTTGATAAATATCTAAAAAAAGAAGAAAAAACTTTAGAAAGATGCGACAAAACTGGATCTTAATTATCGAAGGGTCCATTAGAATAAAGAAACGAAATCCTTTTTCTCGTGGATATATATCCAGCACCTTCGCTTTGCTTGTCAATTGTAACGCTTGCTGTGGAGTTTAGATAAAGACAGATCAAAAGTATGACCATGGTACTTTGATTAGCACTAAAAACTGAAAAAGATGCCACAAATTCACTAAAAGAGTGCGAGAAGACTAAAAAAAAAAAAAAAAACCTGATTGTTCTTCGGGTATATTCTCAGCACCTTTTCCAACCAAAAATAAAAATAAAAAATCTTAGCACTTTGTGCCATCTCACTAACTTATCATAAATGTAATTAAATACTAGAATCTTATCCGCGAAACGCTGCGAAATTTATGAAAGAATAAATTATAAAGGCTTAGGATTTTATTTTTTTTATATCGACTTTAATTATTTTTTTGGGCAAATCGCTACCGCATATTTTTACAAGATTCAAATTTTTGAGCGGTTATAGAATTAATTCTAAGTCAAAGCTTACTTACAGTTACAATTAAAGCTTTTAGCCTCTCCTCAACGGTGTATTTAGTAAGAATCGAATCAGATTTTCCTCTCACATACTCATTTTGTATTGTTAACTGAGCTACATCAATTGTGTATCCGATTACGATAATTTTACATAGGTATAAACTACACTTTTAATTTTAATTATTGATCCTATTTATATCTAATGGTTATGATTTATTAGATATGTAAGCCGTTAGATGCAAGTAAATCAATAACTTACATTTGGTGTAAGACTTATTATTTTCACAGCAAGAATAATCTGCTCCTATTTAAAAATATATTTATGTTCCTATGTTCGTAGAAGAATAAAAATTCTTATTCACAATCTTAACCATTGATTTGTTTATATCTAACAGCTCATGCATATCCTATAAATCAAAGTCGTTACATATAATTAGAATCAATAAGTACGATTAAGAGTGTAACTCATATTGGTGTAAAATGATTCTGACTCAATGGGGATGACAAAATGTCATAACTTGTGGGTCGACATGTGACACAATATTTTAAAATGTGTATTGTGCCGACTCATGAAATAAAATGGGTCATGTACGAATTTGGAAAAATAATACAAATTATTATCATGTTGTGTTGCAAGCTAACCTGTGATTTTTTTTGTCCAAAGAGTAAAAATTTTTAAAATTTTGGTGATTTTGACACGACCAACTGCAGGTCATCATTTTTATTTAATTTTTCCCTTCAATTTTTATTTTTAAAAAAAATAAAAATTTTAACTTTTGTGTGTTGTGTGACCTGTGACCCATAACAAGTCATCTCTGAGTTTTAATTTTCGACACGAACTCAACCCTAGTCACGTTTTGACACTTGTATGACCCATTTACGTTTGTATTTAATTCAATTTTGATGAAAATTGTAAACACTTGCATATTAAAAAAAGTTATTAAAAGTTTGAATTAAAAAATACTTAGATCTTCACTTGGTTTGATTAATTCAATGCTAAGTTGCCACATGTCATTTCGCCCTTCATCCTGGTATGAAAAGCCCAAAACCCATTGTATATTGATCTGAACCTATTCCATATGGAATATTTGACCCAGCCCATGAATGGCCCAAAGGCCCAATGCTTGTTGATGTCATCTCGCAGTCACACACCTACGGTAACAACAACCCAGAACCCTATAATCACTCTAATAGTCAATAGCTAAGTAATACACACACGGGAAAGATAATCTGACATCTGTTAAATACTTTGTTATGTACTTCGAAATTTTGAATTGTTATGTCTAACCGTGTTCTTTAAGTTGAAGGTCCAAATATGATGATTGTCTCATCTTAGTGCAACTATATTAAATTTACACTATTCAGAAAATTAGGCTTTACAAGTTTACCACAGCTTTAGTAATCAAAAAAAATGTTTGAGCAAGATAATGTAGAACATGTTGCATCAATACACTTGAAAAGGGTTCAGATTGGGTAACACGTAAACGATCACCAAACAAAGAAGGGCCGCTTTCTTTATTCCTTTGCAATGTCAATAATTGATACGCACCACATAAATTGCACTCAAACTACTAGGTCAATGACGTCGATCCAATCAGAAAATTGAAAAGAACAAGGAATCATATAGGATGAAAGTGGGATAACCTTACTGAATTTTATTTTCTATTTTTCTGGTTTAAAAGCAGTAGTTCAACGCCAAGAGAAAGACCTCGACTAAGGTGAGCCAGATTCTTAAACCCAGGGGGGCATTAACGAGCATACACCAAGTTACAACTATGAGTAGCATGTTAAAATACAATACTTATAAGAAAATACCAATATATCCATTAATAGTTGAACATGTAGATACAAAAGGTAATCTGAAATTAATAAGTTTCTTTGACTCCAAACAACTCGAGCTTCTGACACAAGACTTACTTCATATATTTGTGCAGGAATTTCCTATGGAAATCGTTCCTGATGGTATCATTGATGAATCGCTTAGCAGCCTTGGTTTCACCACGGGCTTGGTTCTTAAACACCACATCATCATCCCACCTAAGCCAACAAAGTGCATGCAAACCAATAAATAAATAAATAAATAAATGTGATCATGACAACAAACCAATAGGGTTAACAGTAAAAGCTGTCATTTTGGTTTGGCGAGCAGTAAGATAAATATCTAGATTCAAACCTTCTTTTAACATTGAAAGATGCCGGATTATTTAGCAATGGGTTTCCTCGCAGAAGCTCTGCCTCCTTCACTTTAAGCTCTTCCTCTTGTTCTTGTCGTTCCTGCACCAGGAGAATTCATGTATTTTTTTTAGTACATAAGGGCATTTACATTTGTCTACAACTTACAATTAACATCATCAGAACCAGTTAGCAACCAACGTATAAGTTGCTAAAGAGAGAGAGATGCTATGTGCTCAACCACCTATTCAGGCCCCACAACTATCTTTGTGTTCAACAACATCGAAATGAATTACAGAAGGGTGGGAAAAGGGCCACTGCATCCACCTACCCCCCTCTCCCAACCACCTTTCCATACAAAGTGAAGTAACAATTATACTAGCAAGATATAAAATGTAGAGAGCAGTTCAAGATACACATCAGGAAAGCTTAAATGGCATGATTTGAACAAAGCAGTGTATAAGAAGGAATAAATTTACCTTGCGTAGCTTTTCCTCTGCTCTTTCCTTCTTTATTTGTTCAAGCTCAGCCATCAATGCTTCAGCATCATCCTCATCATCATCGTCATCATCACTGACAGAGGTTAAAAGTAAAAAAAAGAAAAACATAGGTGCAAACATATACTCAGCTGCAAACGAAGCCAGTCTTATCAAAACTAAATTATATTCGATTGCTCATCCAGCAAAACTCCAAATGCTGAAAGCAGTGCTGTGCACTTACACTTGCTTATAGCTAATTGTCTATATGTGATATGTCAAAAGTATCAATAAATGATTGATTATGCCAATATAAATAGTATACATATTGATGCACATGTACTCACGTACACATACTGACAGGTCTATATGTTTTAAATTGTCTAAATAAAATGCTTTTTGCATATCCTAAATGATATGTGTGTGTAAATAACAAATGAAGTATATAATTCCGATGTATTATCATAAGATTTTGTATAGTTATTTATACTGGAGCATTTATATTCTTAAAAATTGGGTTTAGTTTAATTCAGTTGCATATACATCATATAAAAATTCTATGCCATTAAACATAAAGTTTAGGTAGAATTATCAACCTCTCATCATCACTTTTGACTTCAACATCAGAATCATCTGCATCCACATTACGTGCAACAATGTGGTCTTCAATTTCTCTCTTTGATCCTGTGAGGATAAAAGCCCATCAAATTAGAAGACTGAATATGAAATACCATTATGGTTTCTTTCTTTCCATATTTTGTTTCCTCCTTTTTTGGATGGAAGACCATGCGCAAAGTATTTATCAGTAAATTTATACTAACTAGCAGAGAGAATACCTTCCAAAAACAGATGGTTACCCTTTCCATGATCCCTGTCATCTGTCAAAACATAGAATACAGTTGAACAGTTACAAATTGCAAAGCTCCTCTGACAGGAATGATGCAACTCAAATGCCACAAGTAAAAATTTAGAAAAAACATTACACATTCATAATTGTACCATTATAAGATTTATTTTTTGATGAGAAATGCCTCCGTTCACGATCTTCCAGTTCATCACGTAGGTTCCTTCTCTTTAATTCTTCCGCCGTGTCCTGCCCTTCTTTCCTGGCAAGATCAAAATACAACACTATTAGGGAGGAGAGATACACCACTTACATCAGCAAAAATGCATACGACATGATAACGCATTTACATTTAAGTGTTGCTTCTTAATCATATAAGAAGAGAAACATATGAAAAAACAAAAAAATAAATAAAAGAAAAAGAAAACGAAAACATTCTAAATATATATAAGGAAGCAGGTGTAATTTGAAGTTTTAAGAGGTATTAGAAACAAAATAGAAACATACCGAGTGATGAACTTTCCATACATATGCAATCTCCTTTGCCCTCTCAGACGAAGGGAGGAAAGAAAAACGATAACATTTTAAATCCATTCACTAAGTACAGGTTAAATATGAAGAATCTATATAATTACAATAATTTCGTGAATCAATTGAGATGCCTATCCTATATTAGTCCTAAAAACAACTAATAAACAAGAATTAACATGGAGAATTTTACATTAATCTCAAATTCATCACATGTATGTAATTTTACCCAAGTGAATTGTGATTACATCTAATATCATCAGGGAAACGAAGTTCCATTATAAATTTCAACTAATTGTAACTTTACAGAGACATAATGTTCCGTACGCAAGGAAACCTAGATTGCATTCCAATCAAAATAAAAAGATGACAAAATTTGGGGGAAGGGGGAATTAACAGAAAAAACCATACCTCGGCTTCAGAGTTGTGTGCGAAGCGATGTCCCTTGACGAGTATTTCTGTGACGGACCAAAAATTCGAGTACCACCTTGTTCGTTGCCACCTTTAGCAGGTGCCCACGTGGGTCGAGCAGCGGTCGTCATCGGATTGTAACTTTTTAGGATCGAAGAGTTTCAAGGTTGGTTGTTTCTTTTCTGTCACCGACTTTGTTCGCTGGTAACGGAGGAAGAGAAAGGGTTTCGGAGATAGAAGCCGAGAGGAAGATGAGAAGGAGAAAGAAATAAAGTGTGAAAAGCTGAATGGAAGTCTATTTATGGGATGGGCTTACCTCTTGGACCCGGTGTTAACTTTGTGGGCTTATTCAACAAAACCATGCTGGACTCGTCTCTTATACGCGGACGATTTGTTTAGATTTTAAAAATATATATTTCAAAAACAAATAAATGAGAAAAGCACTTGTAATTTTAAAGTATATGATTTTATGTCATCTTAAGTAAAATATCGTATTTAATGATTTAATGATTTATATCATCTTAAGCACTATATCCAAGCAGTTTCTAGTGTGAGGCTTTGATTAATGATTGAGAATAAAGAAGGGCAACCTATTGAAAACAGATCATTAGAGAAAGTTGCTGTTTATAAAATTTGTCCCTCAAAATTCCTGAAATTGTGTGTGAGTATTTAACAGTGTTGTTAAATCCGACTCGGCTATCGACCCGGTTGGGGTACTGGGTCACTGATTGGATTGGTGGGTTACTGGTCAGACCCGTTGACTCAGATAGATATATATATATATATATGAACATATAAATTCAATTATATTCTCTATATCTAAAATGAATTAAACAAGATTCATTAAATAAGCTCAAAAACATGAAGCATAAATAAATAAAAATGCATGTTATTACTATGTCAATTTAAATTGCAACTCAGAATCCTCATAAACATACCTCTCAATGACATTGAACTTATATTTTTCAAATTCAACTACACTAAAATGACATATGTCACCTTCTCTAATTTATTATTCCACAAATTGCTTCAGTATTAGAAACTAAGAGGTCATTGTAGAAGAGTATACTAGCAAATAAAATTACAAAAAGTTTTTAAAATGAGTTTTACATTTTTTTTTTATAAGATGAAACAATTTTTTTTAAAAAAAAAAAATACATGACCCGGCCGGGTCACCGAGTTTGGCCGATTTTGTCCGAGTTTTGACTGGATTTGACCAGGTCGATGCATGACCGATCCAATGCTTGACCCGAACCGGTCTGGTAACCGGTTCACCGGATCCCGGATCGACCCGACTGGGTCGGGTTTTACAATAGTGGTATTTAAAGAAAAATTCATGTATTCTCTCAACCTCATTACATGTCAATAATTTAACAAAAAAAATTTAAATTTAAACATTACATATCAAAATAGATAGGAATTTATCAAAATTTGTAAATATCTACAAAACAAATAAACAAAAATTTTACAATCATATTCAACATGAGAAAAGCGTTTCCACGTCATTTCATCTTATCTTCAATCTTCGAACTTTATCTGACGCCAGTGAGCAAGGCTATGATTATCTTCTTCTCGATGTAAAAAATGTAGACATGAATGACCACCCTGACCTTTTTGTCACACGAGCATATGAATCTAGCGGAAACTTAAAATCCTTGAAAATGAGACATTGATTAAAAAACCAACCAAAATTAAGTAACAGGGGCTAAAGAGCAATAAACAAGACATAAGGGACTTAAAAAATAAATAATTGAAAGAGGTACCAGTTTTGTTAAATATTTTGGTGACCGGTAATGAAATGGTAAAAAGTGTGCAGCATCCATGCCCCCAAGGTCATTAGGAGCATTGCAGAAGTCACACTCGCTTGAATATATTTATATTCAGATTTTGGAAATGCATGTTGCTCATAGTCAAGGATTTGACGATTAGAATTGAAATGACCCCAAAAAAAATAAAATAATGTATTTTATATTATAGGAAACAATTTTTTCTTTATTTTTTATACATAGATAAAAATATGTGAGAATTATACAGGCCATACGAAGAGAAAAGAGAAAAAAAATACATAAATCACACGTACTTTTATGTGTATATTATGTAGGAAATAATTGTATTTTCTATAACATAAAAAAAAAAAAATCCCAAAAAAAAAAAATCACTTCCTAGATTTTACGTCCCTCTTTAAAATTTAATTATGCAATTTAAATGTAGCTAAAATTGCATAATTTAGGATTTTTATTTTCAACCATCGTCGAGATCATCAAATTTATACCAATATTAACAAATCAATAGCATCGTAATTGAAATAAACTGAGATCTTAGATAATTTCATTACTAATACTTATTTTTTTTTTTTAAAAATCTGAGGAAGTGTCTAATCACAGAAATCGAATTAAACTAACAAGCTATAGAATCAATTACACAGATAATACCATAAAAGATCCTGATGATTGATGAAAGTAATGTAAATTCACAGGATCAAATCGAAATAGACATCGATTTCCGACATTCAAATAATACTACAATACATAGAGTAAGAGAGAAATAAGATACAAGAAACGACAAGTTCAACAAATGAACAAGGAAAAAGAAACTGGAATAAAGGGGAAGTAGAATAATAACCATGATTAAAGTGCAAGCATTGAAAGGTCATGGAAAGTGTGGGGTCCAATTTGGGAGTCCTCTGACTCTGAGGATGTTGCAGTGGTGGAGGTGAGTGCTGTGAAGGTTAATTGAAGAGCTCGTTCCAATCTTGCGACGTTGGAAAGTGGGGGTTCTCTGTTGAAGGCAATTTGAGTCAATCGGAAAAGGAACAACCTTGATTGGTAAAGGAATTCACCTCGGAAAAGCCTGAAAGGCAACAAGATCTTGAGCACCAGTGGGCAAGCGAACCCAACCAAACCAGGCCTTAAACCGTGGCTAGCTAGTTGCCAGTGAACCTTAGCCAGAGCCACCATATGCAGACCCATTTGGAGGATTTAGACTGAGTGAGCTCAACTACTATAGACTTCAGACCCAAGTGGAATGAACTCAAAGGGAGGATGCGGAGGGCATATCCATTTTTCAACTACCCTTTAATCAAGAAGCACAATAATAATGATGATTCAGCGTTAGAGTGCTCTCTTCTGATAAGAAAGCAAAAGGGTCAGGGGATTTTTTTATATAAAAATATTGCCTTTTTCAAAAGCATATCTTGTAAAATTTTGATTTTACGTTTCCCCTCATCTCGGCCTAATTATTATTATTGTTTTTATGCTGTTTGAAAGGAACTCTTTGAAAGAAATGTTATTTAATTCTCATTCCACGTATTGACAATATTTTTTAGGGGTTTGATTTTCTTGTGTTAAATGATTCAATTCTCATGTTAAATGAGAATTCAATTCTCATGTTGTAGAGAAGATAAAAAGCATGTGAGACCCATGTGTTAGAAAAAATTATATATAGGACCTATGTCAACACGGAAATCGAAGGATGTATAAAAAAATTTGAATTCTTATGTTAAATGAGAATTATAAAACTCTATTTTTTAATAGGCAAATGTGATTCGCGTTTGGGTATACAAATTGGGCTTTGGCATCATAGTTATCCACTGTCAGTACTGATTCCGCATGGTTACTCATCGTACAGTTACTATTCACCTTATATTGTAGTTGCTACTTGTATGTCAATATATGTTGTTAATAAAAAATAGTTTCATTTTAATTCTTTATAAAAAAAATTAATTTAAGGTCTCTAAAATATTTAAAATGGACTCATTTAATTAAAATTGTGATCCTTCACAAATTTAAAAAAAACTCACATTAGTCCTTTAAAAAGATTAAAATAAATCCACTTTAAATTTCTTAAAGACCTCGAGATTAATTTTTTTTGTAAGAGACTAAAATAGGAACCGTATGTTTTTTTCAAAAGAATATTTACTCTTGTTTTTATGTCCTCTATTTTCACATTAAGCCATTTGATCTTGTGGTTCTTCCAGGGAGATTGAAGTTGGCGGTGGGAGGAAGGCATCCAATATGCATCACTGTTCGCTGGTTGTTTAAATAGGAGTTCGGATGATGGTTAACTAAAAACATTTAAAAAATAAATAAATTAATTAATGATGTTTTTTTGTTTGTGTCTTCTTTTCCAAAGTTAAATAAAGTAGTTTAATTTACCAAAAAATATAAAATAATGTACATCAATTGTCTCTTAAGTGACAAAATGACTTATTACCAAAATCACTCAAGTGCAAAAATGATATGTGGCATCATCTCGCTGCAAATGAACATGAAGGAATATTACGTAAAGCAAATGCATATCTCACATAAATATATATCTCACCACTCATACTTCCAATATAAGCACTGAGTTGAGGGACTTTTGATATGGACCTTTTACATGCAAGAAGAGGACTCATTCCAAAGGAAGGCCCAAAAGACTAAAAAATCATGACTTAATTCTTAAAAAAAAAATATGTGCATCCCACATAAAAACCGTGGGCATCTCGCCAACTCAACTGGAAAACCACTTGCCTAGCTGCATAAGCAAGTGGGGCTGGCGAGATCGTAGTTGAGAATCATTTGACCACCACTTGAAACCAATGACTAAATGATAGTACCACCTCGCCGCAACCTCTACTAGGGCTAGCCTGACTATAGGCATCTCGCTCAAGGAATAACTTGTGAAAGGCCACTACACTCCACCAATAGGAGTTGACACTAGGGGTGGCAATACAGGTATTGACCTGCGGGTTGACCCGTGACCCGACCCGCCAAATCACGTGTCGTGTCAACCCGCGGGTCGTGTCAGGGTTGTGTAAATGTTACCCGTTTATTTTCGTGTCGGGTCACGTGTCAACCGCGGGTTTGCGTGTCAACCCGCACAGTGTCTTTTTTTTATTTTTTAATTAAATATTTTATTATATTATTATTTTTATTCATTTATATATTGATATATATAGTCATTGTTTAGTATAGAAAAGAATAGAAGGAACTAAAAATCTCAAAAAATAGAAGCTAATCTTTTTTTATTTTTATTTTTATTATTTATTGTTTTTAATTTATTTATTTTTCAAAAAATTCCACTTTTTTTTTAAATTTTAAATTTTGAGGGTCGTGTCAGGGTTTGTGTTTTACGACCCGTTTACAAACGGGTCGTGTCAGGGTCGTGTCAAATAGTGTACGGGTCAAAAACGTGTCGTGTCGTGTCGTGTCGGGTTGACCCGTATTGCCACCCCTAGTTGACACTGCCATACAAAAGCGGCATAAGCAAGCCATCCTCCCATTATAAATAAGGTAAAAGGATATATTCTTGAATACTTGAACTACTTGAATATTAAATTGACTTGAGCGTCGGAGTGTATTGCAGGTAATCCCCCAATCTCCTGCAACTGCCCAGAAGCTAGAGTATCAACCCAATTATCTCGCCAAGGCATCTAGACCATCTCACCAACGGCTCATCATCTCAGCAAGTATTTTCTTCATCAACATCCTTTACATCAATTGTGTGTGATCTAGCTCATCCCAATAGTTGTTAGACTTATCAAAATCAACTTGCTAGAGTCATGCGATGGACAAATTCAGCTTTCACAAAAGCACTAAAATGGAGGGGTTAGGATAATAATCCCCTAAAACGGCAAAAAAATTAATTCATTGTTTTTCTGATCCTCTTTAAATCTGGACTTATGCCAAGCACAGGCTTCAGAGTGAAACTTGTCTTTGGCTTCATTCCATTTAGACTCCTCCTTCCAGCAACTTTCCACCACATCCCCAAAACTATCATTAGTTAGCCAAGCTGCTAAGAACCTGAAAGGTCTCAGGCCTCCTTGGAAATCATTTATGTTTTCATCCTTGAGAATTATGGGTCTATGATCCGAGCCATGGAAGTGGAGGTGAACAACAGCCCTATTGGGAAAGGCCAGGTGCCAATCCTCATTCACCACCAACCTGTCTAACCTTTCCTGGATAGTACCTCTTTTCCAAGTGAGCTTAGGCCCAGAAAACCCTATATCCGAAAGACCACTCCCACTGAGACAGTCACCAAACTCCTGCATGCTATCCCAACATAGACTAGCCCCACCAGTCTTCTCCCCTTCCTCAAGATAAGCATTAAAATCCCCCATAGCTGCCCACTTACCACCACCTATAGCTGCAATTCTCCTCAAGCTATCCCACAGAAACCTCCTTTCAACTCTTCTCGGGCTACCATATATGAAGGTAAACAATTCTTCAACCCCCCATTGCAACCACTGAATACAAGTGTGGACAAACTGATGATCCTCCTCAATAATTCTCACATTGACAATGCTTTTATTCCATAGCACCCATATTCCTCCAGAAAGGCCTACAGCATCCCTTATAAAGGAACTATCAAAACCTAAACTCCTGGCTACACGCTTAGCCTTATTACCACTGATTCTGGTTTCCAAGAGAGCCAGAATTTGAATCTTGTTTTGAAACACAAAATCCTTAATAAGAGCAGAGAAGCCTCTCTTCCCCTGCTCCTCTATAGTTCCAAGTACTAATTATCATGAACAAAGAAAGAGGAAGAGAACATACCCCCAGCTAGACCATCACATGTGATCCTTCCCTGGCTCCAGCAGCATTCGTAATATCATCCAGGACCATCCCTGATCTATCTCCATGTATTGCTCCCTTACACTCACTTCCTCCATCAGGTGGGTTTTCCTTGAGGCCAGGTTGAGCACTGGTACGGATTAACTCCTCTTTCCTGTTAGCAGTACCCAGGAGTTTCCCATCCATATGGGGAACTGCAGTCTCAGAGGCTTCACCAAAAGTAGCCCCCTTTAATGAACCTCTGTCAACCAATATAGCCATCCTATTGGAGAGTTTGTTACCTGTAGCCCTTTTCATCGCATGATGATTAGAGATAGGCACATGTTTGCCAGCAAACTTCACCTCAGATCCACTTCCCTGGGTCGAAGCCCCCCACCATACAGAGCCTTCTTTTTCCTTCCTCATTGACTCATCTTTTGTTGGTTAGGCTCAATCACAACCTTCCCAATAACAGGTATGGATTCTGGATCCCCAGGCTTTTGACCAGGGGTAATATCTTCTGTTTCCACCTCTAGGGGGCCAAATCTGGAGCCCGAAGCAGTACTGGTAGTTCCAGACTTGTTCTCTCCTAGCACTGGCTTCTCCTTGCCAACTGAAGTTTCTTTGGATTTTAATTGCTGGTTTGGTCTTCTGTTGCTCCTCTTCTGGACAGACATCCATTTCCCAAAGCCATTAACCTCCTGACTCCTTTCAACTTCTCCTTTCCCAGTATCCACCGAGTGACCATGCTCAGCATTCTGGCTATTCATTTCTTCAACTGCATCCACCTCAGGTTTCTTGGGATTATCCGAGTTAATCATACAATTCTCCTTCTTATGCCCGTATTGCCCACACAAAAAACAGATCATATGCAGGCCCTCATACCCTATGTAAAGCTGTCTTTGACCAATTCTAAATTTGGAAAGAAGACTCTTACTCAGATCAACTCCCACACATAGTCGTGCAAACCTTCCCCTGTCAGTGATCTCCTCTAACTGCCCTTGTCCACTGATCCGCAAGGAGTTCTTATCGATCCTCAAAGTCCTCCCCACCATGTTCCCCATCCTCCATAAGTCCTTGTATGTATAGAACTCCCTGGGCACTCCTGGGATTCTAATCCAAACAGCCAGCTTCTTGACTTGCTCATCAAATCGATCGAAATTAGGCCTCCACCTTTGCACTATAAGGTAATGGTCCGCAATGATCCAAGGACCCTGCTGCTGTACAAATAAGTAGTCCTGACTCCTCTCAAATTCGACCAAGAAGTGGTCATTCTCCAGATCCAGGACTTTGTACTTCCCTTCCAGGTTCCAAAGCCTGTGTATCCTACTCCACAGAAACCTGGCTCCTATTCGTTTACCCATGAGCTTCACTATCAAAGCCATTCTCCATCGCTTACATTGTTCGACTTTTTCAAGAACATCAAATTGATAGAAGGGATTCAGCGGATCATCCTCTCCAATCTGCTCATAAGCTTTCAGAGCTTCCTCTTCCTCGATTTCCTCCCGTTTGCACTGTGCAACCCAGTCATCAACGTCCTCCTGCTCACCGTCCCAAACGCCATTAATACGCAATAGTTGGTCCTTGTAAGACACCAACCGACGAGGATCTCTTCACCCTTCGTGCGGTCAGCGTCTGCATCCACCATCCCTACCGTCTCTTCCCTTCCTGACTCGACCTCCATTGCGCCCGCAACCAGAGGATTCTCGAGCAAAACCTGATCCATCATCAAGCCTCCTTTCGCCTTCTTGGAATCTCTATCAGCAGTCTTTATCTCCTCTGAAATAGGGGATCTTCCCCCCTTAGCCACCATCAAAACGAAACAAACCCTAACAGAGCTCAGAAAATTCTTCTCACGCGCCTCACGCGCCCCTCATTCTTTAACTTTCTTTTTCATCAATACAGGGTTACTTCTTAAACGTACTTATTTTATTTTTTTTGGTGTAGTTAAACATACTTATTTAACTTGCACAGTGGTATACCTATCACTTGCAGACTACACTAATTTTGATTGTACAGTGGTTAAATAGAGGCTCGTAAAAGGTGGAGTGAGATGCAGACTATGATTTAAAATTATATTCTTTAATATAGTAATAAGTAAAAATTCATACTACCAGTGCAACATACTGAGTATAATGCTAGTTAGTTCAACAAAAAATTCAAACCATAAATATCTTCAAAATCAGTTCACGAGGTCATTTACATATAGACCATTCTGCATGATATTACCTCTCCCATCTCGGAAATGAATTTGAAAGGAGTAGAAGTGACCTAAGAAAAAGCACTATCTATCAATAGCAATGTCATGGCGTCAAATAGTATTGTTATTTTCATTTTATTATTATTTTTCTTTTGAACTATTTTAGATGATTGTGTAGAAAATTGTGATGGTCTCATTACCCTTAAGTAATAACACTCCGTAATACAAGTTTTCTGCCTTTGATGAGCTTCCAACTTAATACGTATTAAGAGCTAAAATGAACATGAAATTGGTCTAAATATAACTAAAAGACATGACAATTGTAATTAAAGTGTTCTTTCACTCTGAGGAGTATTTTCATGAGAATTCTTGTGTTTTTATAGGGATTTTGGCCCATTGAAAGAAGGTTAAGTTGAAGAGCTCAAGAGTAAGAAAGAAAAGAACCTAAAAGAAGCAAGTTAGCCGGCACTCATGGCGCCTCAAGCACCATCACCATGAATAGCTATTGTAACAATTTTGGGGGGAGGGGGGGAGTAGAATTGCCTTTCGCAGCATCATTAGTGCCAAAGTGGCGCTCCTTGGAGCGCTAGGTCCACAATCTTCTCGCACTACTAGCGCAGGCATACACATGGTTTTCAAGTTTAGAAATTTTGAATCTAATCAACGAGGATCTAATTGAAGATTTTACGTGATATTACCTCAATATAAAAGGGAAAACTTTTGGAAACAAGGGTAAGCATTCGACAAAAGGATAAAGAAATCAGAGAATTTAAAGCTTAGAGATCGAGGAATAGGGTAGACAGTAGATCGAAGCATCATCATAGAAATCAACCAACACCCAATCCGTGATTTCTTTTAGTTTTCTTCCATTTTCTTGTTTTGTTTAAGCCAGTTATGTCTAGTTAATTTCTTTTGTAATTAGGGTTATGGATCCAACGTGAATCCTTATGTTGATTTAATTTTCTTTTCAATAAAATCCATTTGAAATTGTTATGTTTATCTTGAATTGTTTGTTCAAATTCTTGTATCACCTGATCAACTATATATGAATAGAGAAGGTTAGGGTTCTAAATAGAGATATTAGGATTTTAATCTAGACAAAGATAAACACCAATTCTTGCATGTTCTAGACATAGACTTATAAGATTTGCAAACTTGTAAGATTCATCGCGCGTAAGACTTAATCTAAAAAAAGTTTCCTAAGAAATTAGGGTTCTAATTAGATTAAAAGGTTAAACAACTAATACATTAGGGATTTAACTAATTATCTCTTAGATGATGAATTGTTTGGAAAAATAAAATTAAAAGTTATTGAATTAAGTTAAATCATTTAAAAGGGATCAAAGGTGAAGTAAACCCTACTGTGTTTTCCATTCTTGATTTCCAACCCATCTTTCAATTGTTGAACTCTGTTCTTGCATTTAATTGCTGCTTGAAATTTGTTCTTTTATAATTATTGTCTTCATCGATTACTTTATTTAATTGACTTTCCATCAATTAAAAATTACTATTCCCAAACCAACTTTTGATTTGTCCAGCTTAAGCAAAATAGTAAAAATAGTATTTGGAGCCCCAAATCCTGTGGGAACAATATTTTACTCACTATTTTATTACTTTTACGACCGGTATGCTTGCCATGAGCGCAATAGCCTTCTTGACCGCTATTTCTCCCTCCATTACAACTGCTGCTCCATCAAACTACCAGCCTGTCCTCCTATGTGAAATTCATATAATCCCACCAGATCTTAGCGTAGCAGCAAACATGTGCAGCGTATAAGCATTAGTCCTATGACACAGAAGTCAGATTCCTCTGAAAAGAAGCAGAATTCACCATGCACATATATCATGAACTCGAAAAAGAACTCAACCAATGTTAGCTAACCATCTATTTTGTCTGCCACTGATTGAGAAAGATCTGTCGAGCCAGAGCAATAAATAACGGCTTGAGTGAAAAAGCATCATAAAAAATCAGGTATAATTTTGAGTTCCCCCTCTGATGGATCAAAAAACGCTTCAAGAACTGCAGAACAACATGCTTGGTCATTTCTCGATCTTTCGGGTCCTACTGTTCTAGGTGTTGCAAGAAGCTTTACTCCCTGCTTCCAGTATCTCTTATCTGCAATCTTAAAATGGAACCAATAAGCAATAGCTCATTGTAATGTTCTAGATGCTTTACAAGATATAAGTGTTTTATGTCTTAGGCCTTGATTTAGTCTTTCATCAATCATTTTGGTTGTGGGTGCACCATGCAGTCAACCCGAGGTGTTAGATCTTAGAAGGGAGAGCGGGGACTTCACAGGATTAGTTAATATTCAAAAGAGAATTTGACCTGGACCAGTAGATATCACAACAGAATTTTGCAAACCCATCACCCAGTCAATCCATAGGACAAACCCATGACATACTCCAGTCTTGGTGAATTTAACCTGCAACAGACAGATTTCAATATCATTATGTAAACCTATTGTTACCGTAGAGTATTACACATCTACAGCAGTTACGAATCAATTCAGTTCTCCAAAAAACTGAATGCTCATGTAATATAGCATTCTATGAAGGTAATTACACGTGCAAAATTACTTTTGCGTATGATATAAAGGTAGATATAATGAAAGACAACTGCTTATGCAATCTTCTTTTAATAATTGTTCAACAGTTAGGTCATGTTTTTCCTGTGTGATGCTGCTCTTAGGTATTTAATAATAAATCAATTCAGTTAGTAAGCTACACCAGAAAGAACCTGTTGTGCAAATTGCAATACAATCTTTTGGTGTCAAAGTCCTTGACTACGCTACGCTAGGCAGCAAACCTGCTGAACATGCAAGTGAATCCAAAACTCACATGATGATATATCAAAATACCTGGGATTTTCCTTGACATTGGCATATTTTTTTTGAGAAATCAAACTCCATCACATCAAATGTCTCACTAAGCACCTGAAACATTGTGCATAATAAGGCTGCATTGATACACTATTGTTATTAAAGTAAATGAAAATTTCTTTCCTTCTTCAGTGAGGGAACCGGCTCATTACAAAATGTGAATTTTAAGGAGATAAATTACGTCAAATTCTCCACATTGCCACACAAAAAAAGGCAGACAAGGACCCTCTTCCAATTCAGGTAGATGACCGCAAGCCCCCAATGTGGCATTTACAACCGAATGGTCAAAACCTTCTATCTTACTCACGCAGCAACGACTTTTCCAAAGATCCTGCAATATGTTTGTCCCATTAATCCACATATACAGCCCCTCCACCAACCAAAAAACAAAATTTATGTTCTTTCAATCCATTTCCTAAACAAAAATAAATGCTTTCCCAAGCAACAAAAAATATGCGAGCTTCTTTTAATCCATAGTTTAAGAGTTTAACTTACAGGGAGAGAGATGGCACAAGCCCTCAATATTCCTTTACTAGGAATTATCAGAGCATCTTCAGATAGGATATAATCAAGTGTAGTACGATCCTTCCTAAACCACGATTGAGTAAAAGTAACTCATGAGAATGTTAAGAGCCAAAATAAAACAAGAGCATGTTAAAGCATAACAGATTTGACATAACAGATTTGACACAGCAAATTAAGTTTGATCATTGCAAGCGGTATTGAGAAATATACCAAAAACGTAGGTTCTGCCATGGAAGCATGCTATCATGTCCCAAATAGAAAGGTTCTGCTATTAACAGATCAACCTACAGATAAAACACAAAAGCATGGATACTCAAAGCAAATCAAATATTCACCTTAGATGTTATTTACTACAGCATCACATACTGTTGAACATGATACTATGCAGTGAATACATTCTAAGTACAAATAATATTAAAAAAAATAGGAAAGGTTTGTTATTAGGAAGAAACACATTCAAATATTGTTTATATGCAATAATTAGATAAAGCATTTGTAAATTAAATCAATGCATATCATAAAGACTCTACGAGTTCAATACAAGTAATAAAGTTCCATTAAACAAATATAGGTAACAAAGTAAAACTATATTTGCTTAACTAATCTCTTCAATTCTATAATTTCCAGGCCTCTCCATTCATGTGCAAAGTCATTTACATTTTCCATTTATGCTTCCCGGGCATAAGCAAAATGATCTATGCCACTATGGTGTAGGTTTCTAATAGAACTTAAATTCATATACATATATCATTCAAAGTAAAGCCACACCAAACAAGTGGAATCACAAAAATTCCACCTTTTTCTGGTGTGTATCATGCATGGTTAACTGTTTCACCCTTTTTTCAAGAACTTCAATGCAATTAGGTGACAAACGATTAGCACAGGCAGCGGCTTGCAAATAATGGAGGCCCCTTTCCTTCAACCCCGGAAGTAATGATATCACATGTGGTGCTTCTGAAAGATTTGCCATAAGAAGCGGTAAAAATATACTATCATCTGCAACCAAACATAATGAGCGACCTCTTCCCTGCAACTGTAAAAAGTATTAGTTCTTGTAAACAAATAGGTTAGGTTAACTTGAATGAAGTAAGAGAAAGAAGGTTTCTGTTTATAATTTGTTTCTTATACAAGTGAAAGGTCATACCATATGCTATGAGGAGGAGGAAGAAATATCTTACCCCACTTTCAATGGCTTTTAACATTGAAAGCCTCCATCCTTTGTCTCCATAGATTGCAGCCCTTTCTGGAGGCAGTACAAGCTGCAAATCTCCAGTCGTCAGCCCCTGATGCAAAACCTTAGTTGTTGGAACTTGGGTATCTAAATTATATGAGATACTAGTGTCAGTATGAGTAGCACGTAAATGAATTCCTTCCCCTTTCAATATGGAAATACCACTGCCTGGAACAAACCAAACACACTGTTTCCAGTGGTCACACCAATCAACAGGACCTGGTATAGCACCAATGCAGCATCATTAATGAAGATTCTAAGATATTAACAATTATAAATATTCATAAAACATACTATCATTTATTTCCACATAATTCATATTCATATTCATGCAACTTAACTTCCAAACAGTAACATGGCAATCATAGTAACGGAATGTATTACGCTGAAGTCAATACACCCTAACTAACCAATTAAATCATGAGAAACTCTCACTTGTAATTGTTGGCGAGCTTATCCACCTAGGGGCAGTGGAATAATAGATTGTCCCTTCACGATCAAGTTGAAGTACCCACCTGAAGCACACCCAGAACTTGTGTAACCTAAAAGGAAATCAAAAGCTCTGATAATACAATTACAGTAGTATTAAAACACAAATGATTACCAAGAGACCACAGCATGAGCTCTACCATCATTAGTTGCCTTTATGCACAGCTCAGTTTCTCCATAACTCTCTGGCCGTTTCCAAAAATCAAATTCAAAAATTTTGAAGGGTTCTGAAAGCTGAATGGATCTTGATTTGAGTAGGAAAGAAACTACTAATAAATTTTAAGGAAATGAGTCACAGAATTCTTATTTAACATACTGGCTTTATTTCTTCTCCTATTGGATCACAATGCATGGCATATTGCTGACGTTTGACACTCAAAACACTATCAAGTTCGGGAGGGGTAAGACGAATGCCATCAGATGCACTAGCCTCATTGTTATGCAAATCATGCAGCTTCCATAAGAATGTACTTTCAACCAGCTGAAGAAGGGATATGGAAGAAGAGGCACAAACAAACTTGTGTGACACTCAAAAGAAAAAGAAAGAATGCAATGAAAAAGATCTTTATTTTGTTAATGTAAGGATAAAAGCAAATAAAATATCATTTTTAACCTAAATTAAAACCAGAAAATAAATAATGACATAGATGAATGTAGTTGGTTCTCTGAGTACCTGTCCATATGTAGTTGCTCGATATGGCACAGTCAGAGGGTTTTCCATCAACAAATTGTCATGCGCATGTTGTAGGGTCGGTATAAGCCCCTCACCTAATAATTCTGAATCTAGAATCTCGCTTACCTATAATAACGATCTCAATTATCCTTTGTTTGAAGGAGGAATGAAACACACTTGGTTGTGCTAAAAAGAGCAACATCTTACAAGATCCCAGCAATTAGCTCTCTCTAACTTCGACCCTCACAGTCACTAATTCATTATTAGTATATTGAACAATTAAAAAATGAGGATTGAGGAACTACTAGGACACATGTTCATTATGATCAAATTGAACATGATTTTGGAATGAGAGCAATTCCACTTACAAGTACATCTGCACGTGAAGGGATATCAAGGCCAACAATGAGTTCATCAGAGCGCTTGTTGATGACCTTGATTCTTCCCTCCATCCCATTAAGACGCAGCACCTTCTTCATCAACTTCACCATCGGAAGGTAAGACTCACACGCAGTGACCCTTCCAGAAGAGCCCATAGCTCGTGCAGCCATCATCGAAAGCAAACCAGTTCCAGCACTGCACAATTACACAGAAAACGGACACTGCAGTGAATAAAAATCAGATTATGCAATAGTGCAACATTTTTTCTGATGATGAATACCCGATATCAAGAACGTGGCAAGGTTTGGTGATGGTTTTCTCTATGGCTTCACGAAATGCTCTGTTTCTGGTGGAGTCGTTGAGCATGTCCAAATACGACGTCGTGGCGAGAAGGGGTTGGTTGAAATTATGGGGAAAGCTTTGTTCGTTGTCGTTTTCTTCAATGACTACCCATTCAGAGTTACCTGTTAGTGGGTCAAGCTTGAGCTGGAAGATGCACTGGGAGCTCATGGTTTGAATAGCTGTTAGTTTAGAAGGACAAGTTCGAGTTCGGGGAAGGAATCGAGTGGCAATTAAGGCTTTGGTGAACAGAGATATCATGGAAGAGGTGCCTAGACCCTAAACCCTAAATTATTAATTAGGGTTTAATTTAACTGATAAATACAAGCTTATCCTTTGCTAATGATAAATACAAGCTAAGAACAAATGCTACCACTGTAATGTACAATCTTTTCCAAAACATGATATATTTTTTTCTACGAAAAATGTGGGGTGTTGATGGGAAATCATGGCTCACTCACTGCCCAGGGAGGAGGTCTACCGATGGGTGTGGTTGGGAAGAAATGGCCATGGGTAGAAAGAGATTGGAGAAAATTGGGAATAATTTTCATAAATTGAATGGTTGGTTGGTTGTTTTTTTTTGGGGTGACGGTGTGGGGGGAATGATTCTATTATATGATCATATTATCTAAGACGATTTTAATCATTAAAGTACAAAATGATGGTTATTTTAAAATTTTCTATTTCAATATATTTTTTCTTTTATTTTTTATTATAATTAATTTACTCTTGTATAGTTATAATCTCTAGTACAATATGTGTACGGATCACACTTAATAATTGTACATTGAAAAAGAAGAAGCAAAAAAAATAAATAGGTATATCCAATAAGTCTCTAACACTATTCTCTTCATCGCACTCGTTTTTATATATTTAATTACTGGAGAATATAAATAAGCTTTAAAAACCCTGAGTCGCTACAGTTATTTATAAGACTAAATTCAAACTACTAAACAAAATTAAAATTAAAAAGTAACTTGAGACCCACAACAATACTAACATTAATTGTTGTCTATGCGCAAAATAAGAGTAATCTTTAACAATATCAAGAGTTGTGTCAGTTTTACCTTCCTACACCATACTATGTCAAGAGTCATGTCATCTTTTATTGTCATTGTACCTCAAGAATATGACTTATAATTTATGTTGCATCGATATTGACAAGGGGTATAATACGACACGCCAACACGTTAATTCTGAAAAATATTAGATTTCGACACAATAAGACATATTTAGATATTAATATTTTTAATATATATAATATAATTTACATTTAATACATATAGCCACCAATAATAAATATATAACCAATCAAGTTTTTTTATACTTTATGTATTTTTCTTTACAATAAACTGAAATATTAAAATTGAAAGTTCTCTTTAACAAGCCCACTGTTTCTTAGTCTACAATAAAGTCCGCAAAACGTGAGGGCGTTTTAGTTGCTCATTTGCCCAAACGATTATTTCTATTAATGGAGCCAGTGTGATCCACTACATCCTTCCCCCCTTGAAGCCAATGGTCGTCCTAGAGGATGAAAGAGTCTAGAGCATGCTTGTGTTCGATAGAATCGATAATTTGTGCCTGACTTGGATTTTGCTTTATCAACGGTTGAAATTGAACTGGGAAACTAGAACGCAGCTATCAAGCACTTATTATGGTCAGTGGGCTGGACAAGACTTGAAGCCTCGTTGATCATGAAAGTAGGTGTGTTGTGGACGGCTGGGATTGAAGCTGAAGTGTTGTGTTGTTAGACGGCTTGATTGTCTTCCATGTGGCAGAGAAGAATTGGACCATTGAGCTGAGGCATGAGATTTTTCTTCTGTAAACGCTCTTGCTCTGCAATTAAAATAAAATCAAGTCTTCAGGCATGAGAGGTTGAAGCGCCAGTTGTGAGACCTCTGTATCTGTTTCAGTCGTGCTGAGCTTCACGCCTATGGAGATTGCACCTATTTTCCGCAATTTGTGGTGGTGGGATCAAATCAACAACTCTGCTACCTTCCAGAATGTCATTTTCTACTTCCTCTACGCAACTTATGCTCTTGTCTCCTCCATCGCTCTATTTTTTTTTTTAAAAAAAAAAACCTTAATGTTTTATTTTAGAATTATTTTAATTTTATAAAAATTTTGAAAATTTTATATTTCTACGCCTTGACTGTGTTTGACACGGCCAAAATCACATGTCTGAGATAGTTAATGTGTCCCAAAAGGTCCAAACATTACCGTGTGTGTTGGACGCGTGTCAGAACATGTCACACTTCTTGAAAAAACAACATGTGTGTGCTTCATAGCTTATAATAACAAAACAAAACTTTCAGAAAAAAATAAAATAGTAATAAAACCAAATCCTATGAGGTGTCATGTGTTTTGGGTATGGCTTATACTTCACATACTGATGAGAATCCTTATTAGCTTGGTTAGCAGAAAGGCAACTGGAGTCTTGCTCCGAGGTGAGGAGCGGGGGTCGGCTCCCTCGACCCATAAAGACCTGGTACTGTTGTGAGCCTCTAACATATTATAATTTTCTTTTACTTAATAGTTTGGGTTTGGGCCCGTGAATAACTGCTGTTAGCGTTTTCTAAATCTTATTTATATTTTCTTGTAAACCGAGTGACTTGTAACGAGTGTAGTAAGGTGAATATATACATACAAGTTGGACATAGCCTACATTAGGTGAACCAGGGTAAATCACTATGTCAAATCTCTCTTCCCTTCTATTTTGTTTTTTGATTTGTATGATTGTCGATTTCCAACAATATGAAAGGATCCTCAAGTATTAATTATCCATTTATTGCAATCTCTCCGAGTGTCATACACTATATGTACAAGCCTCTTGAGTTGTCCTCATCATCCTTTTTTGTACCAAGGGCTAGCTGATGACTCTTCCTATTTGTCATAACTTACAATTTTGCTTATGTAATTCTTTCTCAAGTGCCCAACCTGTTTACTTTTCCAACACCTTACTTCGTATTTATCATGGGATTTTGACTTTCTCTAAATTTACCTTTGTAACCAGATTTTGATTATTCATTGCTTCTCCCATTAATAAACAAAGCCTCATTTATGGTGCTTTCATAGCTTATCTTTCTCATCTCTTTAGACAAAAGGGCAGCAACATCAGTCTCAAAAGACAGTATACTGATATCAGTACCAATAGAAATAATGACATGCTCCCCTATAATTCGACAGTAATCAAAGTAAAGTGCAAGCTTTATCTTCTTCATCTTGGTTGACATCTACAAATGTAAGTTGCGCATAAATAATATTAAATTCATTTAAATGTGCATAAAAGGAATCACTTTTACTCATATGTAAATTGTACAACCGCCTTCGTAGAAATAACTTATTCACTAGTGGCTTGCTTTGAAAGAAACTTCTGAGCTTCATCCAAAGATCCTTTGTGATCTCCTCAGCGATCTCCTTCACCAAAATATTATTTGCAAGGCAAAGCAAAATCAAACGCACCCCGTCTCTAATGCTCCATCTTCGGCAGTCTTTGTAGGTACAGTCAGTTTGTCTTCTTCGATCACATACCACACATATATTTCAATGAGCAAAGCCTCCATCTTTAGTTTCCATAACTTAAAATTTTTTCCCACAAAATTTTTTACTTTCGTAATTAATTAGTTGACATCTTTCACAGATTAATTTCGCATGTTCCTGTTAACTAAGAAATTGCAATTCGGTGAAACCTCAATTTATAAAAGAAATCCTAATCACATAATCAAAGGTCTTGATACCAAACATAAGGACCAAAGCAATCACACACACAATCACAATAGAAAAAGACAAAGAAGGGAAGAAAAAATGACCCCATTTACCCTAATTCAGTGGCAGAGCCACGTACATCGTGAGTGTGGCCTCGGCCCGGGCTAAATTTTAATAAATTAGATTTATTATATATAATTATATAATTAATTATAATTTGGCCCAGGTTAAAATTATAATTTGGCCCGGGCTACAATTTGTAATTTAGCCCTATCTAAAACTTTTAAAATATTTTTGGTAAGAGATTTAAGTAAGTTGTATTAGGTTATGTGTTCATTTTCACTTGTATAAAAAAATATTTTTAGTAAAATTAAAATATACTAATAAAATTATAATTCTTCTTAGTACTTCCTGTTCAGGTGCTCTATATTTAATATGATTTAAATTGGGAGACTTATATTTACAAACTACACTGTGTACTCTCGGAAGTACACTAGGTTACACTATATATTTTCGATAGTATATATTATAATTTGCAAAAATTTGTAAACGGATTCTTCCCTAATTTAAATATATTATGATATGAACTATCTAAAATTAAGAAAAATGAATACACGTATAATTTTTTTGGCCCGGGCTCAAATTTTGAGCCCGGCTCCACCATTGCCCTAGTTCACCTCAATATGAGGCTACGTCTAACAAGTCTACTACCATATTCTTCTTATAGCACTCGTTACAATTTACTCGGTTATAAGAGAATATAAATAAGCTTAGAAAATTCGAAGTCACAACAACTATTTATGAGCTCAAGCTCAAACTATTAAACAAAAAAAAATTACAAAGTAACCCTAGGCTCACAAATACTAGGGCTCTACGAGCGGTACCTCAATTGCTTTATCTATGTGAGGGGGACATGAATTGTCATCTTGATACACAAGTAGAAATTCTCAACACCACTAATTTGTCTTGATAAGCCTATGCTTGTAAAATCAACAAAGTTATTTAATTATTGATTGTTGTTCTGTATTTGGTTTGGGCCTTGGCCCAAGGACTACAGAGCTGACAAAGTGACCGACCGTGCACCTTCCATTGTCATGGGAGAATCGTTACTGAATACAAGGAGCCTCTCAAGTAACCATTTGAACAATATAACACCAACCATCTCCCTTCTGCCCTTCACCAGGTATCCTCAAACCCTGGACAGAACAGTTCCATACCTATAAATTGACTGTGCATTTGGATTTATTCTGGTTAAGTCCCAGCTGTTTTATTGCTTTTTTTAACAACCTGTGCTCAATAGCGTTTTATGAAGCATAAATGTTTGGTATTTGTCAAATTTACTTGGACGCATTTCGCCATTGTCTTTATGCATAAAATACGGTAAAGATTTAGAGACATATTTTTATCCAATATATTTTTATTTTATTTTTTAATTTTTGGTAGAGTTCTTATCCAGTTTTTATAGGTGCATGTATAGAAAGAATAGTTTACATGGATAGGTAAGTGAGTTACCTTTATGGACCAATTACAATGGAATTTTTTTAGTCAGATTTTTGCCGTTGCATATGCTAGTGAAACCTGGATTGCTAACAATGAATAAATTGGGTCAACTTTGACAAGAATGCAATCAATGCATACCTAGCATAAATTTATAGTTAGATTCAACCTGAAGTCAATTGTTGCACTTAAAGCATGACCATCTGGTTCTTTATGTTACTTATTTCTGACAGATTTGGCTTTCAATTTTTCATCAGCCTCCACTGAGCATTGTTAACCAATAACCAACATGATCTACGC